CTGGCTGTGCTGCAAACCCTCAGACCTGGCTGCACAAACCCAGCCTCAGAAATATCATATTGCTGATGAAGTCGAGTGTGTGACCTACTTCTGGCTTTTATATAAGTCATCTCTCTCCAGCAGGGTAATGCTGTGTCACTGACAGGGACCCTCTTGTCCCACTCAGCTTGCACACAGGTCACCCTTGCTTTCCAGTGCTGAGTATTCAGGGCTTCCTGGCGGCTTAATTCTTCATTTTCTCCCTGCTTGTGGCAGTGCTGCCTGTCCCCATGAGTGCAATCTTGCTTTGTACACAAAACCTGCCTGGGAAGATCTTAACTCTCAGGCACAGAGAACAGCATTAGACACATATTTCCAAATTTTGTCCTCAACCACAGCAACCATCTTGAAAATCAGGCCGGGAAGAGGAAATGCAGAAGATCCTTGTCACAGCATCTCCAAAGACTTCTGTGTAACACACTCATTCTCCTTTCCAAAAAGCAATGTATGACAGCTGCTGCTAGCGGGACTAAACCTGTCTTCCAAATGCAGGGTACTTGTGACTGAACTGTTGGATGTCCAGGTCTGGAGCCCGTTGCTTTGCCATAGCATTTAGAAATGCCTGGTACATGTGACTGAAGTCCCAGGAGAGCAGATGCTCCCCAGAACCTTTTTGCTTCTTGTGCTCCTGACATTTTTGTGTTAGTATGTACTGTTACAATAATCCGTAAGGGCCCTATTAAACTGTCGGTGAAGTCATTAAGATATTTTTGCCTGACTTTTAATTTGCGAGAGATTGGGTCTGGGACAACAATTGTGCAGTCAAGAATTTCAGACGTAACTGGCTTTTTTTGTGTGTGTCTATTTTTGCATGCCTACTCTCAGACTCCAGGGAAAGTTTATATTCATAGAGGATGAGTACTTGAAATTACAGACAAATTTCCCCTGCTGGTATCCAAGAAGTCTCTACTTCCAGCAATCATTTATGAGTTTGTCCTGGTTTCAGCCAGGATGGAGCTGGTTTTCTTAGCAGAGGCTGGTGCGGGACTGTGTTTTGGATTTGGGATGAGAAGCTGTTGATAGTGTGCTGATGTTTTGGGTTGCTGCTGAGCAGCCAAGGACAGTCCAGCTTCTTGTGCTGGCCTTCCAGCAAGTAGGCTGGGGGTGCACGGGGA